TCTCTCGACTATTTCAATTTAGTTCAAATTAGTTCACATAGAGCATCAATACATTGAGATGCTGAGCAGTTTCTTTACTCTCATATTTAGTTACAGTTACACACACACGCAAGGGAAAGAGAGAGAGCGAGACAGGGAGAATGAAAGAGAGGAGGAGTGAGAGAGCGAATGCGGCTTGTTGTTGAGTGGTCCAAAAAGGCGCCGTGGGCGATAAAACTTGACCAAGTCAATTCGATCCAAACGGAGGACGACCAGCCGTCTAGGTGGTGCTAGCTGGTGGTGCACTCGCTGAAATCAATCGATTCGACATTATTATTAATTTTTCATAACTTCTGCTGCGGCCGGCGGCAGGCGGCTGGCGGGCCCAGTGTGCAATATGGCGCCCTAAAACCCCGGCTCCATGCCATGTGAAACTAATCTATTTGTGCGGGCAAAAAAGGGCCGCCTTCAACGAACTCGGTCCCCATCAACTGGCTGGCCTCTTCATCGATTTTGCTATCTATATGTATATATATATATATATATATATATATATATATATATATATATATATATATACATATATATATATATATATATTTGCGTGTTATCTGCTATCGCTGCGCTTTGATCTTTTACCGCTTCTGCTTTGCATAATAAATTCGCTATCGATGAAAACTAACTTGCAACCTGGTCGATCTTGAGGGTATCTCTCGGTTTCTCCTCTGTGTCTCTCCCTCTCTCCCCCTCACGCCGTATGATTCTCTTCTAGGGTATTGGGATTTCCCCGGCAATTTGTTTTGCAGCGCTTGGGCAGCGCCTTTGGCCATTGGCTGTTTAATTCGATTGCCTTGGCGATTTTCGGCTTCGGCTTTACCATTTTATTACAATAGCATAATTTTTTACTATGCTTAATGAGTTCTGCTTTGATTAGTTTTATTTTTTTTTTTTTACATTTTTGCCTCGTTGCGGCTACGCTTGGCGCTTTGGGCAAAATTCGTTGTTTGTTGGGTGTCGTTTGCAAAGGCTCAATTTGCAGAGCTGAAGCAGCCGCAGCAGAAACTGGAACTGGAATTGGACCGGGCAGTAAGTAGTTAGCATTTGCTTATTGAAATGTTGCAAATTGAATTTGCTCTGCACCATTTGGGAAACACTGAAATAAGCTACACAAAAACTTATATTTAACAAATCATTACTTTCCCTATCACTATAGAAAGTCTTTACTTAAAAAAATCGCACTTGTTTTGTATTGTATTGTATTGTGCATTGTTATTTTCAATTTTAATGGAACATAAATAAATTTGATGATAAAACCTTAATTCGTAATTTTAAATTATTTATGTTTGCATTATTGGGGCTTATTAATCACGGTTGTATAAATAAGAATATTTATACAAACTATTTTATTTATTGTTATTATCTCTCCCACTTAAATTTTAAAATACGTTAACAAAAAGGTTGATCTGCTTGTGTACACTGCTTGTGTTGCACTGCTTAGCTGAAACTGCTTAGTACATCAGCTTTTGTAAGTCTCTTAAGCATTTCTATACATACAGGCGCAAGCAGTCAAAAGCTATTCGCTATGCGCCTAACCCGTTATACTTAAAAACATTTTTAATTGTTTTTTGAAGTTTAAAGGTTTTTATTTCACATGAAATGTGATAAACAAACTGTGAGATTACGCGTATTTAATGCCAGCAGTAGCAGTGAAAATTGCTCAAGCTCGTGTTATTGCTGGAGGTTATCATGTAGATGCTATCAGAGCACGCATTACCGCCAAGTTGTGGGGGGCCGCAGATGCCACTGACACACATATGTATGATTTATGTGGTCACAAAAACACACACCCATACACATATATATGCATGTACAGATGTGCATATATGTGTGTATGTGAGCTCACTGTTTCGGCGCGTGTCGCTCATCTAGCTTCCACACCTGGGCACTTTAGATTTCGGCACTCTATAGAGAGACAGAGCGAGAGAGAGGCCTTGACATTGCGCATGTATAAGTACCTTGAAGTGCCAAACAAATTAACAAAAAACCAACAAATAAAAAAGAATTAAATAATCAAAAGCCAAACGAACACAAATTTAACTCCGGCATATGCAGGAAAAACCGGTACCCAAGTACAAGTCGAGTTATTTTAATTATGATTATTGATATTGTTATTGTTACATGCGCGAGACGCTGGCACTTCTAAAAATATCCGCCGGACATCTATTGATAACCGTACAAATATCGCGCTGCCTGTCATGCCGTCAAGCTGATACTATTTTGGCAAGCGTCGACATAGAAGCCACACACACACACCCACCCAGCCATGCATGACTATGCTCATATGTATGTGTCGTAGAGCTGGACGCGTGTTGCTGCTTTTATTTTGTTATGATTTGTTGACAACAATGACAGCTTAAGAAACGAATTTATTTTTATAAGACTTTTATTATTATATTAATGTTTAATTATTTATTTCTTTGAAAATTGTATTCTGTTGGGAGGACCCCACTAGAGGGATACTTTGATGCACAAATATTCAATATGATTTGCCATTTAAACATAAATGTTGTTACACATAGCTATTATAAATTAATAAAATCGTAAATAATAGCAACACAACAACACTACACAACACGCGCTTTTCCCTCTAACATACTCTAACACACTCACTATAAAATTTAACCTTATTCGAATAGCCTTAACTTATGTAACATTATTGACAGATATATATATATACATTATTGAAGGTAACTTCATACTATTCGAAGCGAAATTTATTAAGTTCAGCCTAACTTTCTCTATATACAATTTATTAATTTAAATATTTCATTTTAATTTAAATATTTAATTATTTTATTATTTAAATTTACTTTTTATATTAACTTTTAATTTTTAAAATTTAATTTCAATAGTTAATTTTATTTTATCTAATTTCAATATTTATTTATTCAATTTTACTGGTAATATTTAATTTCTATTCATTAAAATTTTATTTAAATATTTCATTCAAATTTTTTAAATTTTTATTTAAATATTTATTTTTTAATATACTATTTTTTCATTGACCTTTCACTTTAATGTTATAAATTAATTCATTCAATTTTTAAGTTTTTTATTTAATTTTAATTTTAATATTTATTTATTTAATTTTAATTAAATCAAATACTACAATTTTTATTAATTTAATTTAATTAATAATTAATCATATATAAATTTATTATTGTTATTATTATATTGCAATTGTTAATCAATATAAATTGAAATATATTTTTTTTAGTTTTCTAATAGCTTTTTAGAGCATTCAAACTTCGTTGTTGTTTCACTTGTGATTTTTTCGTCTGTTTTAGAACAAAACTGATTTCGGGGGCTCTTATTACGGGGCTTGGGGAGGGACTGTTGTTGTAGCGGTCGGCGCGTGTTTAATTCGTGTTGAAAAAATATATTTTGCCACCTTTTGATTACGCACTTTTTATGGTCGATGCCGTTGTTATGCTCATAACGCGCTTTGCATTGACGCAAGTGGACGACGGCGAAATGGCCACGCCCCCGGTTCCGATCCTCCAGCCCCGTCGGCGTGTGTGTCAACGGCTGCAAGTTAATTTTCCAATTCGTTAGCCCGCTAAACTTTTTACAGCTACTCTGACGCCATCTTCAGGGAGTAAAATGGGCCAGACAACACCTATCCCTCCACGCTACCCCCGGCTATTACCCCACAAGTACCCACTTCCCAGCTATTTCTGAGGCTCCACTTGCTAACTCTCCTTTTTTTTCGAACACTTCCACGCTCGCACGTGTTGGCAATTGAAACTGAAAAATGTCTGCCGGCAAGGCAGGGAAAAAACACCCACGAACCCATTAAAATCAGACATTACCATTGCCATTATGTGGGAGCGGCAGAGATAGAGAGAGAGAGAGAGACAGAAAGAGAGAGAGATAGAGGGAGGGAGAGCGCGCGCTAGAGGCAGAGAGGTGACAGCTGATGGCTGTCGAGAGGCAACTCATGTGTTATGCTAATTTCTTCTTTATTGTTTTTGCTACGCTTCTTGCGCTAAGTGTGAAGGTATGTATGTATGCATATATATGTGTATGGGCTTGCTTTGTTTTAGTTTTGCAGCGTTTCTGCTAGACAAAGAATCGCAAAACCGGAAATCAGGCGCGCTGTCTGTGTGTTTACCGTTAGTTGGGCAAGCGTCACCTGCCCATGGCATAGGGCATTGAATTACCTTTTCATTAGCACGCGCAAGGCACATCAACAGAGCGATTCTAACAAAATATTCACACCCACAAACACAACCAGCCACACACACACAAACACACACAGACAAAGACCATAGAGAAAAGCAATCGGCCGTAACAAAATTTCCGACACGTGCGACAAAATTGTCTAAAAAAAGGGCGGGTGTACGCCAGAGGGAGGCAGAGAGCCAGAAAATGAGAGGGAGAGAGAATGAAAAGGAAATGAGAGTTAGGCCAGTCACAAAACGCTTACATGTTGTGTTGCTGCAGCATCTGTTGCGTCAACATTTGTTGCTAGCAACATTTGTTGGTTTTGTCAGGCAGCAAAAACTAAATGCGTGGGCACTTGAAGCTGAAATGTATGTCAACAATTTGGCAAGAATAGATAGACGTTTTAAAAATAGTTGTTCTACGATTGATTGCTTGTTTTATTTTAATGATGCTGTAGGTTCACTTTGTTCATTCGCTGCTATCAGTAAACTTTGATTAGTTGTGCTCATCACACCGCATACATTGAGGTAATTAAAATATAATATACGAGTCACAGTCTTTCAGACGAGGTGCCCCACTAAGAAATACACGGCACCTGTAAATCAAATATATCAAAATACATATATATAATCCAATTATAATATTTAAATGCTTCAATTTGATTGTGTTCCGGGTGAAATTTTATTAAACAAAACAGTTTCGACAACTGTGTCGGGTGTGCGGTGACTATCGTTGTGGGCACATATTTAAGCGACGCGCAGCTGCCAGCTCGGCTTCATTCCGCTTTGCGCTGTCGTTCCGTGCGCTTCGCTAGAGAAGGGAGCTCTAATTCAAACTGAAAAGTTTAAAGCGCCAACATTTACGTAATTTGTGTATGTGTGCTAGCTGTTAAGACTGTGTGTGTGCTTTAGTGCTCGTGTCTAAGGCTTAACGAAAGCGAAAGTTCTGTTTGTGCGCGTGTTGCTAACAGCAGTGTCGTTGGCGTCGTCTGTCTACAATAATTGCACACACGTCGCAGCCGCAGTCGCAGTGAACGTCGCAGCCTGCGTCACATTTGCCATTGTTATTAGCGGGGAGGCTACCTAGAAAGGAATAGATTAAAAGCGTGTGAAAACAACAAGAATGCTCATTAGTTTCAATGAGCGTGCAATAAATTAAAGAAAACGTGTTTACGCTGTGCGTGTGCGTGTCCGTGTGCTAGTGGGCGTGTGTGTGCTCGTATTAGTGTGCGGCCGCAACAAAACAGCCGCCAACAGCTGTTAAGCGAAAGCAACGCATACATTTCTGCAACATTTACTTCTAAACGCTTTCAAAAAAGCCAACGGGTGAGTAGCGCATACAAATAAATTGGCTCATAAATCTACCAGCCTTAGTAGCCCGCTGCTCGAACTACCAAAAGAAAGAGAAAGACAGAAAGAATATAGATAAATAAATATCCGAGGGCCACACGTGTCGCCTGTACAAATTGCATGTCACCATCAACTTTCAATATTACAGAGAGCTTTTAGCTCACGGTCATTGCCTCTCACTCTGTCGTGCTTTGTTTTAATATGACCATCTCGCCTTTACTGTTATTATTTTGGTTTATGTGTGTGTGTCGCCATGCATTAAAGAACTTTGCGCGCATTCTGCGCTCTGCTATCGCTTCTCTGGCGCTGTTTATTTATGTTTTCCGCCTTGCAGCATCGCTTACAATCAACATTTTTGCTTCACCTTCTCAAGGACGAATACACTGTGTGCATGTTTGTCGATGTATATGTGTGCTTGTTTCTCGGTATTTGTTTCTTGACATAGTCCCTGCCCTTTGGCCTTTGTTCGCACATCACGCTGCGACTGCACTTGGCCAACGGCCGCACATGGCGTATGCGCGTTATTGATTTCTCAAGACTTCCCTGTCTAAAAATACATTTTGCATAATTTTCAAACAATAAAAGCATATGCAAATAAATAAACTAGTAAAAATAAAATAATATATATACAAATATATATATATACATATAAATTACATACATATATATAAATTAAATATTTCTCTTTATATTCATTTGCTATTTGATCGCTTTTCAATTAAAGTCTCGCTTTTCTTGTTATTTTCTTATCAGCTTACAAATGAACATAGAATCTTTAAAGTTAATTTGTGCCAAAGCATATCAAAACAAGACTCTTTATTTATTTCCTGGAATTTCCCGAATGTCAATGTCCGTTGATCGGGGCTTTCTGGTCCGCCTTTCCCATTGCCCAGACCCGCGCAGCAAGTTCTCAAAGGAAATTGCCGCTCATAGAGCGGAGCGTGTGAAACGCTTCCCATTGAGACGCTCAGATTGCCTCAAAAAAAGTAAACAAAATAAGAAGAGAACAAAAATTAATCAAGAAAACAAAACCCAAAAAAAAAAACACATTCGTATGTATATTTTTTGTATTTACTTTTTTTTGTGTTTTGTCAAGTGCTCAGCAGAAAAGTGAATCAAGCTGTGACTTTGACAACATATTCAATCTGCTGCTGAGAGACAGCTGTTTATTTACTTACGTGAATTAATGCCTTCGCTTGGCTTGAGGCCGCTAAGCGCTGCACTTGTGGCCCTCTAAAGGCTGTTTAACCTATTTTGTTGCTAATAAAAGTGGTTCAATTAGTCGAACAGAGTTACAATAATGTGGTTTTCATAATCTATATACATATGTAAATTTTATTATTATTGATTCAATACGATTTCACACGTTAAAGCTGAATGAATTTCTGAAGCTGAAACCGGTTTAAGCTAACTTAATGCTCAGCAGACAGATAAATAGTAAGAAATATATTAAGATATCGCAATATTATGTTTTGTATCCTTCACTGATGTGACCTGATTGACAACGTTCGGCTCCAGGCCAGATGGCTTGCTCTCTAAAACCTTGTGCAAAGCGATTCCAATAATTAAGCAGCCGGAAATTATTTAATTGTGCACACAGTCCTTTAAAGCGTGTAAGGCCAACGCGTTTTCCTAATAAATTTGCACAGCTATTGGCTTACCGCCCCATACATGACACCCCGTGGTGACCATAATAAGGCTCGAACACGTTGCGCATTAAAACTTCAAGATTATACAAAGAGCAACATTTGGTCAAGCATACGCAATAAAAAGCCTTTGAAAATATAAACAAACATTAGTCGAAAATAGTAGCAACAAATGCTGCTCCACATTGTGTGGTGGTTACAAGAGGAAAAGTGTGGGGAGAGGTGTTTCCCCGCTCAACTACCTCAACCGCAACACGTGCGCCGTTAAATCAATAAAAACAACAAGAGAAAATCACACACAAATCATATACGCACATGCAGACGCACACGCACAAACATCAGACACAGCAGCACAAAAATTCATTAACACCATGCGAAAGAATTTTCGTGCACCCTGCGGAACTTTGTCAAATAAATCTACATAAATGTACATGCGCAGCGCGAGTGCCTTATTCAGCTGGTCTTCGCACTAAAAACCATGCATGTCTAGCTGAATTTGGCATGCCCAAGTCATGTCTTTCGATTCGCTTGCCCAAAAGTTTCAGCTGGGTTAATTTATTTTTTATTTTGACTCGCTCGTCGGCTTGTGCTCCGCAGTCGATCCCCTCGTTGCCCTCTTTCATTTTCACGTGCTCTCTCACACACACACGCACACTCGCAGTCTGGCTGTCTGTGAGCAGCTCGTGGCAACGAAATTATCGCCATTTCGCTGCCGCTGTCAGCGTCACAGTCGGCGTCGCCATTGCTGACGCGTCCGCTTCTCTAACTGCGATTGAATGGCAAAGTCTTTTTAATTTATGCAAGCAACTACGAATAAATTCGCCTTTTCGCTTTAGCTTTTGGTTTTATTATTTACCGGCTTTGGCGCCTACACGTGTGTGTAATCTTTGTCTGTGTAACGAATTGAGTCAGTTTTTAAATGAAACAAATGACGGCTGGAAATTCGCATGGAAGTTAAATACGATACACGCGTTTTCGGCCTGCCAAACGGTAGCAGTAACCATAAAACTACCTAATTTGCAATGACACAATTCATTATGTTTACATTTATTATTTTTGGGTTTCCTATTTTTGTTACTGGCATATTAGGCAGCTTAGTTGGATGCCCCTTTAATCCAGTTAATGTGCTCGGGATATTCCGAAATTAAGTTGAGCATATTTATGGCTCATGCAGCTGGTTATTCGCCTATCAAATAAATGCGACTGGCTTTTAAATTATTATAAATATATAAATAGCGTAGTAGACATTTCGTATTTACACACATTACTGGTTAAAGTAATTAACTCTAATAATAGCTCATTTAATATCAATATTCAATAAACATTAAATGGAAATCTGATAATAATAGTGGTTATCTCTTTTGATGATAGGGAATATTGATAAACTATCTCTATTACACAGATAGCTGGTTCTACATCTATATTATTAACAGAAAATAAATATATAATAATATAGATATATATATATTTATTATATATTTAATATAATATCTATATTATTATATATTTACCTCTTGCTCTAAAGCTGTCATTGCTTTATTATTATAAGTGGTATTATTAGAGCTGTTTATAATTATTTTATTAACTACCATCAATTTAATTGAAATTACATTAAATAAACATATAGCACTGACAGCTATTCTGACAAATCTCGCACATAAAATGACTCATAGATACGGTTGAAGCGGGACTTTCAGGTAAAACCTACTTAGTATCACACGACGCATGAGTAATTATCTGTTGGGCCTTGGTACTATTTATGTGTCCCTGTTGCAGCACGAATCGTTTATACATTGTGAATAGTTTAAACAAACTTCAATTAACGCATTTGCTTTTATCCGACTATCAAATATTCACAAATGATGATCAGACTTACGCCCATTAGCACTGCGGCACATCATAGTCACATATGTTAATATACTCATAGGGGCCATTTATATTAGCAGCAGTAATGCCAACAAAAACTATAGTAACAATAGCAGCTGCGATAACCAGTAAAGCTAATTGCTGACCCAATAATGCGAGTCACACGCCATCGCATGTAACTGTAAATTGCCACACGCGCGCCTGTGTGTTTGTGTGGGAGCATTTTCCATGGGTCCTGCTTCTCGCTCAAAATGCACTGCCAACACAGTCCATTGCCTAGCGATGACTGGCGGTCGTTAGATGTCACACGTGCGGCATTCTTGACGTGACGATAAATGGCAAGGTAAACAGAAAGCGGCAGACACTGAAGATATTCTATACCCTTCAATTCTGTCAAGTGGGTAGTTCCTGTTGGCTCTGCAAAAGACAATTCAGAATTGTCTTAATATCTGAGAAACCTAATTAAAGAAACCAAATAAGAAATTAGGTTAGAAGTTCTTCTTCTACTTTTTCAACTAAATATATTGTTTCATGTATGTATGTATCTCTTTATTTTTTAGATACATTTCTTATATATATATGTTATTATTATTATTTGTTCTTCATCTTTGACTTATTGAGAGAATTCTGTTTTCTAAAACTCGTGTTTTATTCTTGTTGTTGTTCGCAGCGGAGTTAAGACAAACATAAACAAAACAGACTGGGTCGCAGACCTCAGACAGAGTCCCAGTTCCGCAATGGTAATGATAATGATAATGATGAGCAAACAATAATAAAAACAAACACACGCGCCGCTCGTGGTTGGCTTTTGTTTTACGCGCTAGCCTACGGCAATGTCTGTGGGTATATTTCTTGTTCACAGTGGCTGCCACAACTGCAATACTTTCTGTGCCACAACATAAGTATTTATATATATATATACGTAAATATATATATACATAGAACTAGGGCTGAATGTCTCACTGACTTATAAAGCCACGCGCAACTTAGCAGCGCGCTGAGACTTTGCTGCTTTAAAGAATACTAATATTTTTGTGAATTTTGCATACTATGTTTAAAAATAGGCTTTTTAGTCAGATAAGTCATAAATAAAGTATTTTGGGCGTATATAATAAATAATATATACATTTAAGCTAAATGTATGACTTTGACGGCTGGCATGTGTCGCATTTCCAATGAGTTTGTGCTTGCAGGGTCTTACGCCTCTTTGAAAGGCAATAATATTTGATAATTTTTATTGAAAATTCTCGGAATAGACATGATACGAAATAAACATTTCTGTCAACGATTTCATTTATCTACCTTTCACTTTCCTTTTACGCATTGTCTCTATTAATGAGACTCTTGTCACGTCGACTTAAAAATTTCATCATCTCTCCACGATCGAAGTCTAATTTATATTATGACATACTGTCTGTATTTTTAATTTAAGCTGATTGCTTGATCAGTGAAATATGTTTTAAT